AACACTTATTACAGCTATTACAATACCAGCAATCATTCCAGCATCAGATGGTTCATCACCTAGTATCAGATAACAGTCAAATTAAAACAATAACAACTATTACAGCTATTACAATACCAGCAATCATTCCAGCATCAGATGGTTCATCACCTAGTATCAGATAACAGTCAAATTAAAACAATAACAACTATAACAACTATTACAATACCAGCAATCATACCAGCATCAGATGGTTCATCACCTAGTATCAGATAACAGTCAAATTAAAACAATAACAACTATTACAGCTATTACAATACCAGCAATCATTCCAGCATCAGATGGTTCATCACCTAGTATCAGATAACAGTCAAATTAAAACAATAACAACCATAACAACTATTACAATACCAGCAATCATTCCAGCATCAGATGGTTCATCACCTAGTATCAGATAACAATCAAATTAAAACAATTACACTTATTACAACTATTACAATACCAGCAATCATTCCAGCATCAGATGGTTCATCACCTAGTATCAGATAACAATCAAATTAAAACAATAACACTTATTACAGCTATTACAATACCAGCAATCATACCAGCATCAGATGGTTCATCACCTAGTATCAGATAACAGTCAAATTTAAACAATAACACTTATTACAGCTATTACAATACCAGCAATCATACCAGCATCAGATGGTTCATCACCTAGTATCAGATAACAGTCAAATTAAAACAATAACACTTATTACAGCTATTACAATACCAGCAATCATTCCAGCATCAGATGGTTCATCACCTGGTATCAGATAACAGTCAAATTAAAACAATAACACTTATTACAGCTATTACAATACCAGCAATCATTCCAGCATCAGATGGTTCATCACCTAGTATCAGATAACAATCAAATTAAAACAATAACACTTATTACAGCTATTACAATACCAGCAATCATACCAGCATCAGATGGTTCATCACCTAGTATCAGATAACAATCAAATTAAAACAATAACACTTATTACAGCTATTACAATACCAGCAATCATTCCAGCATCAGATGGTTCATCACCTAGTATCAGATAACAGTCAAATTAAAACAATAACACTTATTACAGCTATTACAATACCAGCAATCATTCCAGCATCAGATGGTTCATCACCTGGTATCAGATAACAATTAAATTAAAACAATAACACTTATTACAGCTATTACAATACCAGCAATCATTCCAGCATCAGATGGTTCATCACCTAGTATCAGATAACAGTCAAATTAAAACAATAACAACTATTACAATACCAGCAATCATACCAGCATCAGATGGTTCATCACCTAGTATCAGATAACAGTCAAATTTAAACAATAACACTTATTACAGCTATTACAATACCAGCAATCATACCAGCATCAGATGGTACATCACCTAGTATCAGATAACAGTCAAATTTAAACAATAACACTTATTACAGCTATTACAATACCAGCAATCATACCAGCATCAGATGGTTCATCACCTAGTATCAGATAACAGTCAAATTTAAACAATAACACTTATTACAGCTATTACAATACCAGCAATCATACCAGCATCAGATGGTTCATCACCTAGTATCAGATAACAGTCAAATTTAAACAATAACACTTATTACAGCTATTACAATACCAGCAATCATACCAGCAGCAGATGGTTCATCACCTAGTATCAGATAACAATCAAATTAAAACAATAAAAACTATTACAATACCAACAATCATACCAGCATGATCTAGTATCAGATAACATTAAAATAAGAACAGAGAAAGAAGAACTACCCTTTTGGACAACCTTGATCTGGTGTGTTAAAGGCTGGTCATGAAGATACCCACATATTACCTAGTATGCTGTCACTGGTTAAGCTTACTTTTAGTATCAGATAACAGTCAAATTATTGTTTACAAATATTTATACACATTCAGGATTGTTTCAAATCAATGTCTACTTATTTTTGTTAAGCAAATTCTAAAGCAATACCATGGTCAAAGTGGTCAAATAGAGGACATTTTGTCACAACGACAAAATTAGCCTACTTTTTTGCACTTTTGCTTGACCTTTAACATGGAGACTGTAGTAGTAATAGTACTGCCATCTGGATTTGTTGACTAATAACAGAAGATATAAAGCTAAGATACAGTGCATGGAACATTTTCTCAAGGCAACAAAGCGAAGAATAAATACCTTTATTTTCTTCTGGATTACCATCACCACCACCATTATTCTGTCCAGCTGTAAGATAAAAAATCACACATTTACTGAATATTTTAATTTTAAAATTCACAAATAAAAATTATTCCTTCAATTTTTCTTTTATAACAGTCTATCTCAGGGAGATGTATAGATGTGTACATGTGATATTCAAGTGTTCAGTAATTTCAGTAAGTTATAGGGGCCACAGTGGTCAAAAATGTGTCCACATAATTGAAACTCAAGTGTAAACTCTAGTATATATTAATCTAACAGTTGCTTACAAACATTAATTGTAAAGTTCTGTGAAAACTCTTCTGTATTATCTAATATACATCGTATCTCCAGTCCATCATCTTGTGCCTTCACTCTATAGTTTAAAACTGTCTGTTGTCTATAAGAACAACTTCCTCCTATTGGTGGACTGACATCATCAGTAACAATATCAGAACTATCAGTGTATCTATTCCACTGGATACTAGCAGGAAATCTACGAGTTTGCCATTGCCATGTTTTTGCAGGGTTTCCAACATTTCCATTACAAGTCATCGATATAGAGTCATTTGATTTATACTCTGACTTTGAAGGAACAACATTTATTCCTAAAGAACTTGGATTCTCTGAAATGTAGAATAAATGCGCCTTTAAAATTTAGATGGAATTAAATAATTTTAGTAACAAGAACATGTAAATTGTGTTTCAGTTGTAGTCTTATTCCATTTATTGAGTATCCATTTATGCACTATCAATAGTTAACTAGATTATGTAACATTTCGCGAAATTGGTTCGATGGAAGTTAATACATCCTTGTTTGTCACAACCTTCAATTAGTAAACATTTAAATATTTTTTAGTAAACTTTTAGAACAGATATAGTTTATTGATTATTAACTGGATTGGTCTTATCTTTAAAACCATTAAATAACATTGAAAAATATCAAAATAGAATTATTTTTAGCAAGTTTTAATCACAATTAATACATCTTTCTAACTTTTTTAAGAATTGAAATTAGACATTACACTCCAAGTATCACAGAACTGATATTATCATATACAGATATTATCTTAATGTAATTTAAGCAGCTTTGACAGAGCAAATAATAACTATATTCCTTAAAAGGAAGGCCTACATGAGTAAAAAGGTGATAGCTATTAGACCTGTGAACCAATCAGCTTGCCAATTTTCAGATGGCTGAGGGGTTGTATCAGCTGGCTTCAACTAAGCCAACACCAAGAATCATAGATTTCTAAAGCAAATTGCTAAATGGTTGAAAGGAATGTATTAACAAAAAAGACCAATGCTGAATTTCAACATTTTAATCCAGATCAAGTAAAAGACTTTTTTTTAAATGAGATTCTAAATTCAAGTAACTAAATTAGGTTCTAAGAAATATAATTTTGAAAGTGTATATCTGAATCTTCCAATATCTGAACTGCAATTTAACTTCACTAACCCAGCAAAGAATTACAAATCATGGCAATATTTGATGTTGTCATGAATAAAGAAGATCATGTTCATATTCAGAGCATCAAGTGAATTTCATTTTGCTTTCATGTACCACTGGCAAACTTGATGAAGGAATTCACTGAGTGAGAACTTGGAATGGTCATTGTCATATCCACCAGAGGGGGCTTTTCATACTGAAGTGAAACCTGGCGGAAGTAACACAGCAGCGGCTGGCTTACTTAAAAAGCAGACTGCCAGTCTAAGCCGGTGGCTTGGAGGCAGATTTTCTGCGGCTCAAAGGTCTCATTGGATATAATCTTATGTAGTATATTTTAAGTTAACTTTGTATGCTTGAAAGCATGATAGTTCTGAAAATTATCTTCACACTTAATAACACATTATGTCACAATACTGGTATCCTCACAATAAATTCATCTATTACTGTCTTATCTTAACTTTTATATGCTGACTAAAATACGACAATACAGTCTATAATTGCATTTAAGAGGTTAGAAATATTACCTTGAACTGTTACATTAGTTTGTTTTTTTGGGGTCAAAGAACCTCCACTGTTTCCTCCTGTAACTGTACATACATACTCTCCTTTATCATTACAGTTAGGATCCTGTATAATAATCTGTAGAAAGGATGTTGAGACAGTATCAATAGCGGTTAAGGAGCCTGACACTGTGTACTTTGGACTTGTTAACCCAGGTCCAAGTTCTGGTTGTTTTCCAACTTGAATAGTTCCTAAAATCTGTTCAGTACTGACACCTTCCCTCAGTCTTGATATATCTAACCTATAAAGAGATGTTACTCCTGAAACAATAGTAGGTTGACATCTGAAGGTTATAGTTGGTGCTCCAGCCTGAATATTGGTACTGGGTCTAATATCAAGTTCAGCTGATTTCACATCTGAAATTTGAAAAAACAACTAAAGATGTGCTGTGATAGCAGGTTTGGCATAATACATGTATGACATTGAAACAAAAAAGGATTGATTTTGAGATAATCAGTCACCTTTCTGAGACAGTTACAATTAAAATCATTTCACAAAAATTTTACCATCAGTTTGTATTTTCACTAATTTGAGGGCATTGCATTCACACAAATATCTTCATCAAAGCATTTAACTTGTCAAATATTTTGTTTGACCTTAATACAATTGATAAAACCATTCTAGGTTCTAACACAAAGGTTTCAACACAAATCAGCATTGTTGAACAAGTCAAATTTCAATGGAGTTCAATAAAATGTTACATATTATCAAATGCTTACCATCAGATTACCTATCTCTGATTAAGAATAACACAGCAATTTATTCCAATGGCTTCCTGATAATATGTTAATCCATCACATTAATTGATCAATATTAACAGGTTTTTAATTAGTTTATTACAAATTAATTAGGGGAGGAAACCACTTAGAATAGGGGTGGAAACCACTAGGATTGAAAATAGGTGGAAACTGCTGGGGGGAAACCACTAGGAAGGAACTTGTAAAAGGGGGAAACCACTACATGCCGTTCTAGGTTGAAAGAAACTTAGTTCCATTTTGGGAAGTAAAAATGGGCTTATCTAATTTTTAACATTTCTCAAAAGTAATATAAAAAGGCAAATAAAATATTTTGTATTTCACTTGATGAAACCCTCTATACCACCCAAAGCTCTATCTGAAATAAGTAAGTAGACCCATACACTCAAAATAAAATTGTAAGCCAATTGTCTTAAAATCTCCTTGGGTCCATTGAAATAAAAGGTTAAATGTTTTTACACTTGAAAAAAAACACATTTCCCTCCCTGAACTTTCCAGTGAGAATAACTCAATGAAAATGCTCTACGAAATTCAACACTCTTACTTAGTTATCTTTTGTTGATATTTCATTCAATACAAAAATGATTGACAAGTCACAACGTCAATTGTAAAAATTTTGAATTTCGTCTCCAATTTTCTCATATAATTATTCTAAGATAATCAAAATATCCATTTAAAATGATGTCCACTTCTCAAAATCCGGCACACACAAGAGCCATCAGCTCAGACAGAATTCATTTGCGCACTTCACCTTGATTTTGAATTTTCAAGTGACTACATATGCGTAAATTTACCTCTAAGCAGATAGCTTTAGTTACGTGCACACACACGCATATGTGCATTCATGGAAAGAATTATCAAACATGTTTGATTTTCAATTATTCGCCACGAATGACAAAAATTGTGCATTAAATTTACGCGCACATGGAAGCTATCGCCTTAAGGAGAAGAAATAAATTCTGCCTGAGCTGAAACTCGGACCATTTTTCCGGACACTCGGCCCATTGTTTTGATCACTATTAATACTACTCAAACAATCTAACAATGTTTTTTAATTTTGATGAAATTAGGTGTATAGCTTACATCACTGTATTTGTCAAAGTATACATTAATACATTTTACTTTGCTTGAAACTACAGGATTCAGTCTACTAGCTGATATTGTAGAGATAACCCATGTTTATCAAAACAAGCAAATGCGGAGGTCACGCGAGGTCGCACATGCAAATTATTAATCATTTCCGGAGATGCACGAAAAATAGATTAGCACTATAACTGTACAATTTTTGTCATAATATGACGCGAAGAGAGTTACCATTTATCATTCAAGGTACAAAATAGATATGATATTTTTAAACCGTTATAAAAAGAATCAACTTCTCACCTGTAATTAAACATATGAACGACAATAATATCACCAACAAATTGAATAACCATACTCCAACTCTTAAATCCATAATGATACACAACTACAGTTACTCTTAATCCATTAATTTTATCATCAATATAGTTCAAAAATTCAGTAATGGCGCTCAGTTTCTTTAACCGTTACACCTGCAATGACTAGCTTCACAAATTCCTACGCCACTCAGGTAAACGATTCAAATTGTATTCTCTCAAACATAAAATACACTCCTTCTCAATTTATATCCTTATTAGATGAATAATATCCCAAATATATCAAAATTGTTGAAAACACGACTTTATGCAGTAGAATGTTAAACCACAAATTAATCCGCACTATTTTCTTTCTACCTGTCGCAATAACAATAGATATCAAATGACTTCAGGTATTTCTAAACGTTTTATTTCATCAACACTTGGAAAAAACTGGAGATTTTGCAAGTTAATTTAATACTTCCCCGGCAATCCGGATATAATATTAACTTGAAACCAGTGCAATAACTAATTACTTGCAAATGAGTTTTTAATGGCAATCGCTTATCAATCAACATAAACAGTTGTGTAGTAAAGCGAAACGTTTTGACTTGTGAATGGGGCGTGACCACTGGGCAAATAAACTTGGTGTTTACACAGAAATAACTGCAGAGACACGTCTTCAGCCTTAAAATATCCGAACACTTTAAAACTAACATCTACTGTTTCAAATGGTCTAAATAATGACCAATAAGTTATATATAGGCCGAAATATTTATCTTCAGGAGGATTGTCCTAGTTGAGGATATGACACAGTTCAATATAGCAATGGATAAGATTACCGGAAAATTAGTCATTCATCTAAATTAATCATAAAATATTTTTCTATGACTTTGTACTTCTCACTAGGGAAGAAATAAAAGAAATACAATGAAATTTTACTTAAGTTAAAAAAAAAACAAGGAAAAGTCTTAAGATATTTTCGAAATCCGTTGTCGGATATAATCTTGCGGAAATAAGTTCTGCCAGGACTGGTTAAACGGATATCTTTAACACACATTTCTCGAAAAAAGCAGTAAAAAAAACCACAGAAGTCATTAAAGGAAGTAGGGACGCTCTTTAATAAATTGTACCCTCCTCCAATGTCTACGGTCATAAGAAGTATCCAATTGTCATTCTTTCTCCCGTTTAACCATGGGTTGGTTTGAGGCTGGGAATCAAAGGAACAGTCTATCACTCCATATGAAAGAACCAACTTTCGAAATGGTAAAATTTGACCTTATTGAGTAGGCTTAGTAAGTTAACAAGTTCAAAATAGCAATTCTATATTCCTGTCAGTATCCTTTTCCAATCAGATCTCGAATATTGAGTAAACTTCAGTTGTTCCATGTACGAAAGCGGATACGTTTCGTTTTTTATGTCAATATGTATTTGAACAGTTATAAATAACTCAATTGCGCAATATTTTATTTGAACAGAAGATAATGTTCGATCAATAATTCTTTAAAAGATATTTATAAGAGGTTTTGCCAGCCTCTAAATGTGTATCGAAGACATATTTAGCTTCTATTTTCACCATTCCTATATCGACGCATTTTTGTATTTTCGATCAACTTTATCAATTTATAACGTCATCATCTCAATCAAGAAGGGTAAGTGATAGTCGAGTCATCATCTGATCATGGAGGTCAGATCGAAAACAGAATGGTGGAGATAAAAGTCCTATGTCATGGGACTATGCCGTGTTACAGCCGACGATTTTCTTCCGATCGCTGTCCGAAAACACCTCAAAAATTTATTGCAATTACTAAGCAATTAATGTTAGATTTATAAGCTATTAGCGAGTTTGGCTATGATTCACGCCTATATAATAAACCGAATCATCTTGTACTTCATGTCACCTGTAGGCCCTGGCAGATTTATAGTATAGGCGTTCAATGAACGGAAATAGTAGGATACGTCCCTTATTGGTGGAGTTTTAAGTCTGGTCTGTTTGACATAGAATATTTTTAGATTTCAAGCGCTATTTACAATCATAAAGTTTGCCATATACAGAATAAATCATCTTGAGGTAGCGTAATTGGATCGTGCAAGATGATACAGAGTAAAATATCTCGGACCGTGCAAGATGATACAGAGTAAGCTATCTTGAATCGTACAAGATGATACATAGTAAACTATCTTGGATCGTACACGATGATACAGAGTAAGCTATCTTGAATCGTACAAGATGATACAAAGTAAGCTATCTCGGACCGTACACGATGATACAGAGTAAGCTATCTTTAATCGTACAAGATGATACAAAGTAAACTATCTTGGATCGTACACGATGATACAGAGTAAGCTATCTTGAATCGTACAAGATGATACAAAGTAAACTATCTTGGATCGTACACGATGATACGGAGTAAGCTATCTTGGATCGTACAAGATGATACAGAGTAAGCTATCTTGGATCGTACAAGATGATACAGAGTAAGCTATCTTGGATCGTACAAGATGATACAGAGTAAACTATCTTGGATCGTACAAGATGATATAGAGTAAGCTATCTTGGATCGTACAAGATGATACAGAGTAAGCTATCTTGGATCGTACAAGATAATACAGAGTAAGCCATCTTGGATCGTACAAGATGATACAGAGTAAGCTATCTTGGATCGTACAAGATAATACAGAGTAAGCCATCTTGAATTGTATACATGATGCTACAGAGTAAGCTATCTAGGGTAGTACAGGATAATACAGAGTAAGCTATCTTGGGATGAATGCAATATACACGATGCTACAGAGTAAGTCATGTTGGATCGTACACGATCATTTATACATGGTAAGCTATCTTGGATCGTCAAAGATACTACAGAGTAAGTATTCTTGAATCAATCAAGATGATACAAATCGCGCAAGATCATAAAGAATACGCTAGCTTAGATCATTCAAGTTGATATGCGATGAAATAAAGCTTTAATTTCACGGAAAACATTAGCATTAGCAATGTCCACCCTCAGTATTTATTGTTGTGCTGAACTATCTAATGGTTTGTTGTTTGTTAAGCTAGGACATGAACCCGAAACAGGGTGCACAAATCATAAACTCATATTTCAACTTTTTACATCACAAAGATTAACTAATGTACTTAATCAACGAGACACAGGTTTTCTCATGTACCTCAGTATCATTTTAATGTAAATAACACTTGTTTTAGCTGTGGTATTAGCATAACGCAAAAGGAATTGTACATAACATAAAACCCGTGTTTCTCGTACAACATGAATACCAATTTGCCTAAAGCCTTGGTTTAACCGATTTGAATCAAATAATTTGAATCATTTTATTGTAACATGTTTATGGAAAATGCTCGTGTGTACCTATAAACAAGAAATATATAAATAAACCTTAATCTGAATAGTAAACATAATATTATCTTAATGATATTAATTAGACTTCGAATAATTAATCATTAATTAGATATTTAATGATGTCATTGATATGGTTAATAAACGTCAATCAAATAGCCTATATTCATTGAAGGTGTTACAAACATAATTATTAGTGAATAGAATACAGGTACGATGTAATTTACATGAATGAATACTAGAAAAACTAGTAGTAATTCCCAACACAAATCTAATGAAGTTAATAGAATCTTATGGTGCCGACACATGTTTCGGATATAAAATACATGGGGTTAATTTTTAGATATGAGGTATCAGGCCACATGCCACATGGACAAAAACTTACTGAAAGAGTCAGATTGAGTTATACTACAACCTATACAGGAAGTACGTACTGGATTCACAATTAAGTCAGTATTACCCCACGTATACACATATCGATTATGTGTAAGTTTACTTTTAGCTTTATGGCATGCATTTATGTGATAATTATATCATACGAGTATATTGTCCTAGGTTGCGCATACGAGTAATGCATTGGTTTTCCTTTTTGTATTCTGTCGATCTAGGACTAATCATGGTCACGCATAAATTTTCCATATCATGGTGTGACTAAAGGGTGTGTTTAACATCCTTTGTATTCATTCATGTTATAAACAACCTCATCAAAATGAACTGATTCAAACACCCATTAAAAATTACTATATATTTAAATTCTAATCACAGACCTCTGTGCCTTTTTTAATTTCATCTGCCATTTTGTTAACGCTTCAATGTGGTTATCGATGTCTCAGAAAACTGAACAAAACCGATGAAACAATTCCAAAACAATTACAGACGTTTGCATCCTTTTAGAATTGGCGCAAGTAGCGTCTTATACGGTCATCAAAAACTTGTAATGTCTAACCCTCGTTAAGTGCGTTGTAAATCGTTAAATGAAACTGCATTCTTGCTTCTAATTCAGAGATTACGATGGGTTAGCGAAAGCTAATTAGTCGCTATGCCCTGTACGAAGCTGTAAAAAAACATTAAACAACAAGTGGAATCAGGTGATCCAAAAAGTGATATAGAAATTTTACATTTACACTGATGCTTTTTATGATTTAGACGCTGTTGCTATAGCTTGTCAAATATGTCTATAAGTTAATCCAGGAGAGTGTAATTATGATGATATATAATGTAACTGTTTGAGGAAATCAATGCGTGAGATCCGTAATCCAACAATGTCATATTTCAGCCATGGGTAAAGCCTTGTATTGCCTAAACAGGTGAACAAGAACTTTGGAATTTCAACCATGTCTAAATAACCGAGTTTTATAATTTTTGAGTATTTGAGTGAACCTATTAGCCTTTTAACCATCTCCAAGTACATTTCATTTAACATGCAAATATCTACTTTGTTTTAATGAACGACATCGGCCTGTCTATTTACTCAAATAAAACTAAATTATACAACCAAATTGGGATTTATTTTCAGAATGATATAATCCAACAAACTTATTATCTAAATGTATAATGATATGCTGTCTATTATGCAAAATCTGTTTGTCTTCTGCACGTTTCTAAGATCGAGTGTTGGGTGTATTCATGGCAACATTCCAAACTAGTATAAATTATATATTGCAGTCAAATTGAAATTTAAAAGTAATATAGATAGTCATGCATAATTAAACATAACATTGTAAGTTTCAGACAAGATAGTTGTCGAAATTCATGCTGTTATCTGTTTAGATGTTGCTTTTTGGTATGGTACTTTTCACCATGTGATTTAACACCCGTTTAGTACATAATCTATGTGTCAGGCAGCGGAAACGGTTGCTTTTAAATCTATAATCATATTGAAACTGAAAAGCTGAAGGATTATTATTGCGCAATTTTTTTTAAGCT